AAAGGAAGAAGAGAAAATTCCTTGTAGGAAACACAGAATCACATTGTGACATAAAAACCATACCTAGGTTATTGCAGTTACATGTTACAAGACTCAAACCTGGTACTAAACCTGATGAACTGCAAACGTTTCTTGAACAAAAATTGACTGAAGTAGCATGTGAAGTACACCCCTCTCAGAGACCAGAGATATACTGCTCAATGAAAGTAACAATTAATAGAGAGTCATTAAAAGCTGCCTGGAATCGGGAGACCTGGCCAAATGGATCTATAGTCTCGTTTTTCAAGAAAAAGAGGATGCCATCAACAATGACGGATCCTCATACCATGGAAGCAACATAAACTACAAAGGTGGTAATAATGATCACATGGATTATCAGTTTCAGAACCGCGATATCACGCTGAAAATAGTTAGCATGAATGTGCAGTGTTTGAAAAATAAGCTACTGAATCTTGAAGTTTTTTGTCAAGAGCAGAAACCAGACATTATTTGTATACAAGAACACTGGTGTACAGATGAGAACATTAAATATATGCACATACCGGAATATACTCTGATTACAAGCTTTACTAGAAGTAATAAATGACATGGAGGTTCACTTATATTCGTAAACAGTAAAACTTTCTTCGAAAGCAGTGTCATAGACTGTAGTAAATTAAGTGAGGAAGATACCTTTGAATGTTGTGCAATCTGTGCTACACATAGAAACAGTTCATATTCAATTGTTAATGTTTACAGAACACCGGATAGCAAGCTAGATACATTTATTGAGAAATGCTTTTCCTTATTAACTGAGTATAGTAATCGTTTTGATCAAATATGCATTTGTGGTGATTTTAATATTAATTACTTAACGCCAAATAATGATAAGAATCTACTAGAAGATCTGCTTGTCTCTTTTGGTCTAAATCTTGGCCTCCCAAATGAACCCACGCGTATATTCTGCTCTAAAAATAAAATTACTAAAACTAAAATTGACTACATTGCTACAAATACGGATTGTAAAAATAACACTCGTCAAGTTGTCCAACCTAATATGGGTGATCACCTTGCATTAATTTTGCACATAAGGCTAAAAGAAGATATATCAACTCCTAGTGTTAACATTAGTCACGCCCGAAATTTTAGTCCTTTAAATCTTGATATGACAAAACAAGATTTATTGAGGTTGGGTTTCAATGATGTTTACAATAGAAATGATGTCAATGATGCATACAAGGAATTTACGGAAACATTGCATTATGCTATAAAATTGCCAAATAATAAAGAAAAATAACAACAGGCTAGTAGACAGAAGACGCTACTGGCATGATACAGAAATCCTTAATAGAGGTAAGCAACTAAAACACATTTATTCTGCCACTAAAAATAAAGCCGATAAAGATGCCTGGGATTATTATCGATGTTGTAAAAAACAGTATAATCGCTTAATTCAGAATAAAAAAAAAAGGAACATAATCAAAATATCATCAGGGACAGTAATAACAAACAAAAAACCATGTGGAATATTGTTAACAACGCAATAGGGAGAAAACAAAAAACTGATGAGATACAGCTGAAAGTAGACAACAAGAAAATAACTGACCACAAAGAACTCTCACAATGCTTCGCAAGTTATTTTAATGAGGAAAACAAAGAGCTACAAATTATGTTTGATACAGAAGGCAACAGCTGTACGTGCTCCTCTAATTGGACATTTAATAGTTTTGCTTATGTTCCAACTACAGCAAGTGAAATTTCAAATATCATTAGTAGTATCAGAAACAAAAACTCTGTAGGTGATGATCAAATAAATATAAAATTAATAAAACATTTAAAAGACATAATTTCTGAGCCTCTGGCTCACCTAATCAATCTATCTTTTGAAACAGGAATCTTTCCTAATGATTTGAAATTAAGTAAAGTGATCCCTATCTATAAAAAATCGGATGCTACTTGTGCTGATAAATATAGACCAATTTCACTGCTAAATGTCATTTCAAAAATATTCGAACGTTTATATCACAGTAGACTCACACATTTCCTAGAAAAATTCAGTATACTGTCGAATAATCAATATGGCTTTCGATCGGAAAGTTCTACAGAAGGAGCAGTGCTTGAATTCATGGATATTGTGTATAAGTATCTAAACAAAGGACTGACAGTTGCAGGGGTATTCTTTGACCTCACGCGAGCATTTGACAGCCTCAATATTAAATTTCTTAAAGATAAATTATATGCTATTGGTATAAGAGGTCCTATACTCGACTTGCTAGGCTCATATTTACCTGAGCGCAGGTTTTATGTCCAGATAAAAAATGATATATTTGATACTAATATGGGAGTTCCACAGGGATCTGTGCTGGGGCCACTTCTGTTTCTTATCTTTATTAATGATCTACCTGAATACATTAACGATAGGCTGATAATGTATGCAGACGATTCCTCGGTGGTGGTTGCTGCACAGACCCCTGAGGAATTGTATGAGAAAACAAAATGTCTAATCAACACGTTTCAGATCTGGTGCAATCAAAATTCGATCAAACTAAATCTTGATAAGACAACATATATGAACTTCAGATACAAAAAAAATACCCCACGCATCACCATGTCTGATATGGCCTATGTATCAGAAATTAAATTTCTGGGTGTTCATTTAGATGAGTTCGTGAGCTGGGACAAACACATAGATCTTATCAGTAAAAAACTCAGCTCAGCATTCTATGCCATTGTGCAATTGAAAAAAACATCGAATTTGAGTACTCTCATTAGTGTATACTATTCTTTAGCTTATAGTCATCTTTCATACAATGTCTGTCTATGGGGTAACGCTGTTAACTGGAAGAAAGTATTCATCAAACAGAAAAGAATAATGAGACTTATCTTTAATATTCCACATGGTGACACATGCAGGCATGCCTTTAAGAATAATAATATCCTAACCCTACCATCTATTCTCATATTCAAAACCCTCCTTTATGTAAAAAATATTTCACAAAGGTTTTTAAAACATTCTGATTATCATAGATATTCTACCAGGAATGCTCATGATTTTGATATCACTAGACACAATATATCTCGTACTGAAAAATCCCCGGACTATTTGGGAATAAAACTCTACAATCATTTACCTCAAGAAATCAGAGAAATGAATTTTACCAAGTTCAAATCGTCCATAAAGCGCATATTGACTCAGGGCGCTTATTATGACATAAATGAGTACTATGAATCTAGCTTGCTATAACGGCATAGTGTATCAAATTGGTAGTGTGTATACCCCAAATTGTCAATTGGTGTTGTTTTACTCAAATTGTCATTTCTTTTCACCTCATAATATGTCGATTTTATTCTACCCCATAGGTGTAAATGTTTTCCGTTTTATCCTAGGTGTAAATCTTAAATTGTAATTGTAATTCTCATTATCTTATACGTGTAAATCATAATTTTTAATGTCTTTGCCTATGCTGCATACTTTTTAAAATACTTTTTTATAACTGTGTATATCCATTTTCGGATGGCTGCTGTATGCTAATACGAATAAACATTATTATTATTATTATTATAATTGTGATCTGAGGATGAGCCTGAGATATAATTCATTCAAAACATCTCAAACATATCACTAGGCAATACAGTTTTTTCAATACTCTAAGTATCAGTGTACCTATTTGATTTCTGAGAAGATTAGAGAACTTCATTGATAAAAATACTAGGTAGCACCGGAATCAAAACGATTTGACGGAATTTCGAATCCAGCATCCTAGCAATCGCCTGGTGATTTTTGCTCCACTTAGTCTCGCAAAACTATCGACTTCTGCGGAGTAGGTTTTCAACGTTGAAGTAGTGATATTCATACAAATCCAGAATTTCTTGTAGACACACTTTTTCAGGTTGTTTTCAGAATTCCACGTGAATTTCCTATTCGCGGATACCTATTGTTATAAATATTGAATATTTTTTTGACATTCATCCAAATTTCGGGATTTGGAAATCATTTACCAAATACGAGTTTCAAAAATGAATATTCATCTAGGCGAAACCTGTATGCCCCCCTGGATTCGTCCCTGGTGCAATTCCGCTTAGTCTAGGTACTCGAGTTATTTTTAGACTAAAACGAAACGCTATCGATGCACAGTGCAGTGAGTAGTGCGCAGTTACATTTTATTAGTAATATAGTGGGAACAGCTTGGGCGACAGCCTCTTGAGTCTTCAATTTATAATTCTAAGTTCTTTTGTGCGAGGTATTGTGTCTAGAGTGTGTTGGTGAAAATTATGAATTCGGTGAAATTGCTTTTGAATGAGTTAGAGATGACTGAACACTGGTTCCCACGAAAAGGGATATCCTGTAATGTTCAGAGAACATCGTCAGAACCAAGGGAAATGAGTTAGGAATTAGTGTTCTTTCCAAATTTCTGGAGGTTATATGACTCGGGGAACAACTCCCTTCCAAGTCTTGGAAAGAGATGTAATGCAGGTCTCCAAAGTGACGACGAAGGGGTGCGAAGCCTTAAACATAATATAATAATGTTATAATCACACATTTATTCGTGGAAATAAATTATTATTATTATTATTATTATCATTATTATTATTGTTATACCATGTCTTCAAACTAAGAATACAAATATTTTCATTGATTGAATATCCATCTCATAATCATAAATATAACATTATTCAAATTTTGAAAAGAATTTGTCAATCTATATAGTCATTAGAAATAAAAATACAGTATTTCATGTATATTTTTTTTTACAAAAAGGTATATTTGGTATGGACAATGAATGTGTGTTTTGAATTACTATAAAATATTCTCAGATGTATTACAATAATTTATGTTGGTGCCTACAATATTTCTCCCACATAACCATATGAGGCATATAGAATAATAATGGTCTAACTCCAAACAAGTTGATTTCTAATAATTAGGCTCATTATAAAATTTCCAATGAAACATTCAATAACATTTTTGAACATGATGTGAATGTTTATTCTCAACCAATACAGTAAAACATGAGTAGGTTTCATAACACATCGAGAATTTTTACAAGGAGGCAAACAAAAAAATGTGGACTTAGACCACTATAAATCTGAGCGATTTCATTTAATTTGGTCTTATCATGAATCATTTCATCGTCAGAAGATCTATTCTCCAGGTTTTGTTGAGCAGAACCTCGGGTAACTGTCTCAGTGAGCAAGTTTTTATAAAAATTATGGTGTACGGGTGCTATGTAGGGCAGCAAGTCCATCATGTCTTTCTTCTTTGCAGCTGTCACAGTTCTTCTTGTGTGATAAAGTGGTTGTTGCATTACATAAGTCAAACCCCTACTAGGCCTACCAACACTTTTCTTCTTGGAGAGATCAACAATATGAAATTCAGTTTCGGAATTCAGACTCTCCTTGAATTGAAATTGAAGGGGTAGATCTCTCTGAAATTGAAGCCATCTTATTTTAAGCCAGGTAAAGTTACATCCATCCGTGGTAGTTTTCCGATTGGTAATCAAATTTTCTAAATTTGTCGTGCTCAAAAACTCTTCATGTTGGATTTCAGATACTACAAACTTAGGTTCCTTTCGCTTGGAGTTTTTAATTATATCTATCCACTCATCTGGATGATAAATCATGCCATGGCGTCTGCTTTCAGACTCTATTATTCCAAATTCGCCATCGTAAGGAAGGAAAGAGTGTCCAGATATCAAAAATTCAAGATCTATGACGTTGATTTCAACTTCTGGATCTTGTACAAGTTTTAGCAGAGATAAACTCATCTTTATATTCCGATTCTGACCTGTACAAGAATCTGAATGAGCAATGACATGTTTATGGTTCCCAGCATAAAGCTTTAAATGCTTTACTAAACAAGTCGCAATGTCTTGTGAACCGCGCCCTCCCTGTGTTTCATTCCATACGCACATGTAACCAGTATTGCTGTTGAAGGAATGTATTCCCAGATTATACAAATACAGATTTCTTTTGTAGTAAGCCACAGACGTTGTAAGCTTAGGAAAAGGCGAAGCCTTTTGTGAATCAAATGTTACTATGTATGCTTCTGCAGCTTTCTTTGAATCGTTTCGTAAAGACTCTCTCGCCGATTCTGCTTTCCGTAAATGCAACTCCTTTTGGGCTGAAAGATTTTTTTTGATATCTTCGTTGTCGGCACCTTTCAGTTTAAACTCTAGATCATCGCACAACTTGCAGGTGTCTTGATGAGGAATTTCAAAATGCAGATTAAATTTAGTATTAAATACCTGATAATAGTATTTCAATTTTTTTGGTTCAATATTCTGGGTTCGACATTCCTCTACATATAGATCATACATCTTCTTTACATTTAGACCGCTGTTAAAATACTTTCTATTTGGATTTTTGATTCTAGAATAATGGCTTTGATAAGCCGGAAATGTATTTATATGGCCCACAATATCAGACTCGTCCAATTTTCTAGAGCCTGTAGTACCTCCCAGCTCTTTGCAATCCGAGGCTTCTCGTTTCGAAATGCATCTGTTCAGACGGCTGTTACTCATTTTAAATGTATCAAGAAAATATTTCTTGCAAACTCTATGTGTTTTATTATTAGTCTTCAGCACTTATTGAAAATGAGTATGCTTTCCTGAACGAGATCCATCTCTTGGGCGTTTTCTATTTACAGGTGGAGCTTTTACTAAACCAAAAATGTAACTATTTTGCGCAACATAATCGCCAAGCCTCCAAAATGATTCAAACGCGTTTTGTCTTTCGGTAAATGAAAATAAATCAATACACTTCTTTCTGCAGTTGCAGTCAATGTTTTCGAATTGTTTTGCGTTCATTTTTAACCCTCTTCTAGGAATGTACTCTTTTCCAGCATTTCTCAGTATTTCTTTAGTATTAATTCTTCAATTTTTCTCGTTCCTCGATCGTTTTTTGCTTTTGATTTTTGCAAGGCCACCTGAAAATATTTTAAAACCTGTAAAATGTGTATTATTCGAGATATAAAACATTTTCCATACTTGTGGATGGTTGTGGGTCCTGCTCAACAACGTCAAATCCCTCGTCAAATCCTAATCCTAACTGTTCGTCATGTGAAGCTTCTGCATCTATAATACCAAAAACATGCATTAAAATCGGTTTTTATACTTTTCAGATAATGAAAAGAATAATATAGCAATAATTCAAAAATGAATTAGGAAATAATTAAACCTATCTTAAAGCACGCATTTATTGGCAAAAATTCTTTTCAAATTTTTTAGGTTATGTTTCCATAATCAACTTAATATTGACTTGAATTATGAAAATCAGACTTACCAAAAGATTCTCCGCTTTCGCTGGGTATATATTCAGACCCAGAGTCACTGAAATCATTAAATTCGTCCATTATAAAACTTTTATTCCACCATGAACACACAAAACGTTCTGCAACGTCCTGTTATTGCAAGTAATAATGGTCTAACTTCTAAGATGTTCCAGTATTATTCTGAATCCGATAGTTGTACCATTTTTATACTGAACTATATTGACATTCAATCACAATAAGAGTAAGATAGTGCCATCTATTGGCCAGAAACTGAAGTATGCAGTTAGACCACCTATTTAATGACAGATCAAGGTAGATTGATACTTTTTAGATGACTGGCGCCAATATTCAAATTATTATTGGAGTTAGACCATTATTATTCTATGTGCCTCATATCATAATACTTGCTATTTTTTATTGCTGTCACATATAGTACCAGAAATTCTGGTAAACTGTACAATAATTCTGGTAATACCTGCTATCTATTTTTCTCCGTGCACTTGCAACTTTTCGGCGCATGTGTCTTTTGCTTATAATTTTCTTATCAACTGGCATATTTCAAAATAGGAGAAATTGAAATATATTGCTTTGTGAAATACCCTAACAAAAGAGTAGCTAGTTGTCATGAAACATCTGTAAAAAAAAAACAAAAAACGAATATAACTACCACCTAACCACATGCTCATTAACGGATTTGTGACAGTTTATATAGGGTGATTCATAATGAATTGTACAGGATGGTTGTAATTTGAGCCTCATCATTGGGATCTTGTAAACCGTGAGAGATACAGGGTCGGTTAAATTTCGAATCCGACGTTTCGTCTTTTTTAAATACGGACTATTCTTTTTTATTTCATTTTGTAGTACCTTTGTATAGCTCAAACATTATGAGCTATCACAAGTTTTTATTTTCGAAAGCTTCGATGGAGAAGTTTCTTCATTTTTTTTATCAAATATTTCAAAAAAATACAATAACTGTTGATTTTTTCCATCGTAACTTTCAAAAGTCAAAATATGTGATAGTTCATTACGTTCGAGCTATTCAAAAGTAATAAAAAATTGAACAAAAAATTCAGGTTCGTATTTCTGGAAGACAAAATGTTGGATTTAAAATTCGAAAACGCCATCTTGTAGGGAATAAATAAGTGTCCATGATGAACTTTTATTTATTTTGATTGATTTCTCAAATAACGTCAGATTAAATAAAAAACCGCGAAGATAAAATTTTTGTATTTCTTGCAGAATATTTATTTGAAAAATAATAGCAAAGCGCTTTCAGCCTAAAAATGCCATCGGCTGAAATCGCTTTTCTATGATTTTTTTAATAAATATTCTGCACGAAATACAGAAATTTTTTCTTTGATTATATCGAAACGTTTTCATGATATTTCGTTTTTTTTATATCTGCAGAAGTATTCGGAATTCTCAAAGTTTCAAAACGGAATTCTGTAAGGCATCAAATTGCGTAGCTTTACAATAATTTGACAGACCCTGTTTCTCTTTTGGTTTACGAGATACCAATGATGAGGCTTGTATTCCAGCTACCCTGTATACACAGAGCAATGACAGAATCCTGACATTGAAAAATGAGAATTTGCCGAAATATAATCTGTATATTCATGACCATATAAATCAATATGTTATATGAAGTGGGTACTGTAATATTCCAAAATGATTAACAAAATTTTCAACTCCACCACCCTGTAAACTACCTGTTAACTATAAACATCCAACTGAGGTCATATTTGACCAATCATCATAATTTTATGTTAGGATTCTACCATTCTTCTGTGTACCATTCATTATGAATCTTCCTGTATAAGATATAAGAGTAACCATAATCAGTTGAGTGAATATACTTGCTAAAATATAAAAGCGATGTGACTTTACAAAATACAAAATGATGTAATAAATTCGTAGTGCATAATCTGTCAAGTTACCTATTTTTAATGCATATATAGTCTTAGTAAGAGTAAATTGACAAAACTGAGATACTTAGTTCAGTAATCTTATGTTCACTTCTCTACATCTACCATCAAAGTATTTCCTATGCATATCTATTTGCGTAAGTCACCTGACAGGGTACATTCAAGTTCCGTCTGACGGAAGTTCAGACATGGTCAAAAATTATTATGATACCAAATATTTATGGTCTATCTACGCCCTATGCGGATATAATAATTATCAAATAGCATGAGGTAAGGGATGTATGTTCCTAATATCTTATATGTGCCATGATAATCAACGATAATATTGACTTTTTTATTCCCCTGCTCTATCATTTAAATGCGGAAACCAGAGCCAACAACATACGACAATACAAAACGCTTCTTAAAATTCATGTTTACAAACGGCTATTCACTATAAACTTCAATGATAATCGTGCATTTGAAGCTAATGGCAAACTAGGCACTAATTAAATCATGCATTTCTACTTACCCACAAATAGAATATCATTTATCATACACTATATCAGCAGGTCGGGTCCGCACACATTGAAAATCGGAATATTATTGCATTTAAAAATCAAATATTATGCATAATAGTCGTGATGGGAACAAACACCTGTTAAATAGTGAAGATTGCTGAAGATACCAACCAACTAACGTCGTAAACTCGAACCCTCCACAAATCGAATTATATGTCGATAATATCCGAGCCACACCGAAATCTGATACTTTATTGAAAACGTTGAATAAACGTTAATCACTATACCAGTTTTATACGATAATAGTATATTTGTTGTATACTACATACGTTTATAATGCATCTCCGTAAATTCGTTATTATACGTATATTTCAAATCTATAATATACGAATGATGTACACGACTGGTATAAAAACAGGATGAAACATTGGCAAAAAATTCGAATATTAAAAATCACAAATATACGTTATTCCAATACACATAATATACTGTCTGTAGGTTAATCGAGGAGGTGGTACATTCATTATTCCAAATTTTTTGGGATTTTCTCTCCTCGTTCCCATAAAATGAAAATATGAATATTACTTCAATATACGTGACATTTTGGGGCAAATCATCTGATTTGTCCTTACTACACGTATATCGAAGTAATATTCATATTTCTATTTTATGGAAACGAGCAGAGAAAATCCGAAAAAATTTGGAATAATGGACATATAATATGCATATATAATATTCAGTGGGTATTTCCAACACGTTTAATAAAGGGATAATATACCAAGTGGTGTAAAAGGCGTAAAGATATATGGTATAGCATTATACCAATACGACTTTTATACCTATTATACCTATAAAATACGTTTCTCATACGAACTTGTGTTACTTGGGTAATTATTTTTGATAAAATAACATTCATTTCAAATCCAATGTATTGCATGACAGTCATACCTAGACATAAACTAAAGTTTCCTATTACAACTAATATTTCCATAACCTGTAACGTAAAATACATTGATTCTAAAACTGTTGAGATATATAAATCAATATACCATCAGAGAGGGAAATATTGGTTGGAGTAGTTTGATTATGAAAAATATGAAGTTAGTCCACTTTGGGCGTAGAGCAGGAAAGGTTCTCTGAGCCGATTGAAGATGGTTCCCCTGGTATTCAAATTGTGAGTAGGTACTGTTATAATTGTTTTATTGAATAAACATGTTTCTTTTATGTTTTTAAATACTATCTTCATTTCTTTGTGTTCCACAATTCAACAACAATCCCCTCATAGCCAAGCGAGTAAGTAAATTAAGTCTATGGAATAAGTATCCTCAAGGGGGGTATAATATTTTGAAAAGGTCGTCTTGAATACCTACACTGAAAAGGTCGTCTTGAATACCTACACGACACTACGAATAATTGAATGGATTCAAAATCAGATAATTTTGAAAATTCAAGACAATTTCGTCATTTTGTCCCACAGATACTCAATGCGTGATATATTAGTTTGCCCATGAAAAGTATCATCGGATTTACCTGAATATCAAATAAGGGGAATTTCACCACCAGGACAATGTAATTCACCTTGACATGTAGATTCTAGCGAATTGATTCACTACTGATTCAATGGTGAAGAATAATCAGTAAATATATTCGAAAAATAATGAATTATTGATGGTGGAAATTTTCAATAACTAATACGGTTGAGATTTTTGTTGAATTTCTCAATTTTCTTCCACACTCAGAGGATCATTGAAATGAAAAACTAGATGTTTTCCTATATAATCTCGAGAATAATAGATTCCGAAGGGTTTTCGCGAGTGGATCAT